GTTCATTATACTCTTTTTTCAATTTTTGTATATGTTTAAAATTTTCCATAATAAAAAAGTTGGGGGAAGACACAGATACAACCTGAAGACAACACCAAGTGTTCTTCACTCTCTACTCTGTGTCTAGACACAGAAAACTCTGGGAGGTGCTCAGATCAACAGCCAAGAGAGTTCACGCACTCCCAGGGCAGAGATTATATCTTCTGAGCACAACACTCAGTGTCCTCAACAAAATCACCTTTGAAAAATTCCCTAGAACTTTTCAAAATTATCCTGGCAGGACCCAGCTTCCCTTCTTGGCCTAGAAACCCTTCTGCCTCCACAAATTACCCCTACAGCCTCGTCCCACAGCAAAGGCCTTTACTTCCTGTTCCAAGCTACTGTGTTGAGCAATCGAGTTATTGAAACAGCTTCTGGGTGGCGGGCAAATGCCTGCTGCGGTGGCTTGTTGGGTTGGTTCTCCCTCCTGGGTGTCAGATGTGAGGGTACTGTTATAATTTTCAATGAGTCAAAGAATGCTTTATATTTCTTTCTTCTTCCTCTTCCCTTTAACCTCAATTTGCTCCTAACAAGAAACTGTTTTATCATCTAAAGTGGAGTTTTTCGAACTCAACACTATGAACATTTTGGACTGAACAATTCCTCGCTGTCCTGTGCACTGTAGGAGGTTCAGGAGCATCTCTGGCCTCTACCCACTAGATGCCAGTAGCACAAGCCCCACCCCCAGCTGTGACAACCAAAAATGCCCCAGGTATTGCCGAATGTCCCCTAGTGGGCAAGATCACCCCCGACTGAGAACCACTGGCCTAAAGGATATTGAAAAACCAAGACCAATATTGTCCCAGCAAAAGACTGAGATTATACAGTTTATTTCCACACACACACACTATTGGACAACACATTTCAATGTACAAATTTGTAAATATGAATTTTTAAGAAATATTGCATCCTAAGCCAAAAACACATAAAATAACAAGAGAAAAATGAACTTATAAACACTTGCCACTATTTTTTTCAGTCTTTGTGGTTTTCTGTGTAAATCTTATTTGTTTCCTCCAAATTATCCTGTTTTCCTGACAATGCGGTCATCATTTCACTCCAAGCCCTCTTTGAAGTGCCACACAATCTGCGTTGGAAGGAAAAACTTCCATGAAGGGGGTTGGCTCTCCAGCACATACTTAACAGGTGTCACTGGAGGACAGAATCCCCCAAAAGAAAATTTCCCTACGAAATTAGAAAAAGCCATCACCAACATGTCCTCCTGGTACAACTTCAAATAACACCAGATTCCCAATGTGACCAAGAAGCACAACGCGAGACTGAACAAGCCAGTGTAAGAGGTTGCAACATCCAAGGGGAAATACTGTTATATTTCTTCATTAGGCAGAGGGAGTTTCCCACTATATTCAAATGGTACACTGCCTTCTTGAGAAGAAAGAAAATCTGTTTTCCAGTCTGCAGAGGCCTTACATTACACACAGTCTATTCTTCAGCGTCGGGGGATATACATAGATAATTGTCCCTCCTCTCCATCCCACCAGACTTCCCAGCTCCACTTAGTGGTTCTCCCAACACCCACCTTACCCCAGGGAGATGCTGACTTGTCCCTCCCTCTGATGCTTGTGGTCAGGCAGGCGCTGGATGCAGGGCATTCTGTCTTCTGGGGTCGATACCTTCCTCTGCAATCCCACGCCACTGCCTGTCTCAGTCTGGATCACCTGCATCCTAGATTCCAGCCAAGGCCTCCTAATCTCCAGTCCAGGTTTCACACAGATGACGATCGTTCAAGAGCACAAGCCAGCAGGGCCCAGAAGCCTTCTGCAGTTTCCCATTCCCTATCACCAGACACGATCTCAGCTTCTTTGGTGCGCGGATTTGTGAAGCACACCAAACATTTGGCCCAGGAGGTCTCCTGGCAGGAGCACGATGCACACTGAATGGGATGGTACACATGCGTGGAGGATTTGTCCACTGGAATGATGGAGGAGAGAGAAACTCAATGACCTTAAAGTTTCCTTTCAACACTGACTTGCCATGATTCTGGGAACTCCTGGGTCTGCCACTGCCATTATCTGACCCCAAGCCTCCTGCAAAGTGATGCTAAAAACTCCCCCACAAATGCTTCTCACGTCCTCCTGCACATGGTTATCCCATTTCTATAGGATGACTTTTCTGGTTGTTTTCATTTTTTTAATTCCAAAAGCAATAATGCTGGTGGCAACAGGATAAAACAATACTGAAGTGTTTAAGATGAAGTCTCTCAATCATTGTACTCCCATGGTAGCTACTGGCGGCTAGAGTGCATGCCCTCCAGCCCTGCTCCATGACACACAGACACACGCACACACACACACACACACGCACACACCTCACTTACTTGACATTTGATCTTACACTGTGCCTTGGGGAAGAGGACATTTAATTCTTACCTGCATTGACTCAGCCCTCTAGCCCCCCAGGAGGTTAAGCCTAGTTAGTTCATCTGCTTCAACTACTTCATTCCACCAATGAGGACATGCAAGGCAGGGAGATTGGGTATCTCGCTCAAAATCACAGATTTGCTGGTGGCAGAGTGAAGACCAGAACAAGAACTCCTACCCCAGTGTTTGTTATTACACTGTAAAGTGCTCCTCTCCTCCCCACAGTGCAGAATGCAACGCTGTACAGACAGCAGGCAGAAATAAACACCTGTGGAAGGAATAGCCTACAGACGCAGGATGGACAATGGTTAAGGATTTGGACTCTGACCTGAGGCTGCCTAGGCTAGCATCTGGCTATCATGTACTTAACTGTGTGACCTGGGTCAAGCAACTGGGCCTCAATTTGCATCTTCTGAAACATGGGGTAATAACAGTACCTTCCTTATAGGGTTGTTGGGAAAATTAGATAACTTAATATCTGTAAAGCATCCAAAACCGTGTCTGGTAAATGTACTAATAAAATGATCATCATCGTTCTACAAAGCCCCTCAAATACAATAAATATCATCCTTCTTAAAATTTAGGCTGGCAAATCAAAACTAAATCTTATTAGCTCTGAACCTTGTCCAAAAAGAAATCAACATGGGGGGAAAACTCATACAATATTAGTCCAAAAAATATTTAAGTGACACAGTGACTGAAACCAAACCTACAGGGAGGAATGACCTCATAATGACCTCATAGATCAAAAGCATTGTAACACCTACAGCACCAAAGAATAAAAAACCTTAACAGCCTCTAGCAGTAATTATCTAAGTAAAGTGGGCTGCAAATCTGCTGCAGAATTATTTCTGCCATGATAATATTTCTAGTAAATTGCAGCTTCTATACTAAAAGTACTGGTGTTGCAGAACTGGCATACTAATAGAAAGATTATTATAGAAACACTATTAAAATGAATTAGATATTATTAAAGATTCAACACTACAACAGTACCTGATTGCAGGAGAGTTCAAGCTGTATTGCTTAATGGGCAGATAAAAGTGCTAATTAAGCACACTCTTAAAGGATGTCTCTAGGCAGGTCTGTAAACCACAGGTAGCAAGAGTTCTATGAACTAAATGAGGAACCAGTAATGCCAACCCAGTTGGATATAGTACCAGGAAGACGGGGAGAGAACAGGAAGAGGCAAGGTTTCTGCACAGGAGGGGTAACCTGGTAAAGCAGACAAGTATCCAAAGTTATTTGAACCTCAGTTTTTTCCCTAACTGCTTCATCAGCAGCACTTGTAATTCTTCCTTTGCTTAAGTGAAGAACATCAAATAATCCACCATAGATGGGTGACCCTCAATAAATAGCATAAGCAGGGAGAGGCAGAGAAAACCTTGCCATTACTGCCAAAGCCTTCTCAGGCAAACAGAAGACACAAATTGTTCTCCCCCCAGCACCCCGGCCAAAAAGCATCTCTCACAGCCAACAGCCCAAGGCTCTCAGTGGTTCTTAAAGAGTTGCTAGACTAAAGGCATTAGCCATGCGTTTCAGGATCTATTTCGCTTTCCCACCTTGTTAATTAACTAATCAGGGATGGCAAAGCACCTCACAAATATAAAGTGTCAGGGAAATGCTAAGCAAATTCGCCTACCTGGTCTAAATGTCAGGGCTAAATTAGGAAAGGGGGGAAGCGCGGGAGGCTGAGCTGTCTCCAGACTGCCGCAACCCAGGGGCCAGGGCTCGCTAACGTAGAAGCGGAGAGACCCGTGTGCCCTGCAGCAGCCTCTGGCCCCAGAGCAGGGCTTTCGGTACGACTTCTGGAAAGGAAACCTGGACCAGGGCCACCCCGGGGAAAGGGAACGCTGATCTCGAGGCGCATCCTCGCTGCTCAGCCTGCATCTCCCGCATCTCTCGGATGTCAACAAGCCCGGACCACAAAGTGAAACTTTCCGGGCCCCCGCTGCCGCGCTGGGTCTCTGCCCTCTGTCTGGGAGCGCGCCGCGGGGACAGGTGTAGGGCCGGGGCTCGGGAGGGGACCCCCGCCCCCAGCCCCAGCGATTGTGTAATCGGCCCGGGAGGGGGGGCTCGGGACCAGCCCCACGCCGGGATGCGGAGGCGCGGCCCGGAGACCCCGGCAGCAGGCGCGGCGCCCGGTGGTGTAGGGGGGATGGGGAGGACTGTCGTCCCGCCCCCCGGGACCGCCCCCGGGCGGCAAGGGGAACCGCGGCGCTGACACAGCCCGGAGGGGGCGCCCGCACGGCGGACCGATGCCGAGGAGGGGGGCGCGATGGCTCGGCAGCGCGGCCGGCCTTACCTGCGCGCCAGGCCGGCACGGCGAGAGGCGGCTCGGGATGCCGAGGCGGCGGGCGACGGGCGGCAGCGCTGGCAGCCACCGGGGCCACTGCATGTAAGGAACCGCGGCGGCGGCGGCAGCAGTGGCGGCGGGCGCGGGACTGACAGCCCCAGGCCCCGCCTCCAGGCCCCGGGCCCCGCCCCCTCCGCGGCCACACGGCTGGCCCCGCCTCCTCCGCCCACCGCCGGGGTCAAGCTCAGTCCACCGGCCCGGAGGGCGGGGGCGCTCGCTTCGGATTGGCCCGGGCGATACCCACCCCTCCCACTCCCCGCCCCCTCCTTGGCAGGGTAGCTGCGCGTGCGCGGTGGCTGCGGAGAGCAACGCGTAAGGCTGACCGCTGGCGTTCTTGGTCCCCGACCGCCGGTACCCGGCATCCTTCCTTATCCGGGACAGCTTGGAGCCCTGGATGACCTGAGGAGCCAGGAGTCACACTCAGACTGCACCGTGGATCGTCCTTATTCAGCTGTGAACGAATCTACAGGAAAAACCTAACTGGAATGTGCCAGGCTCTAGCCAGAGGAGACCCCAAAACTATGAACTGCAACAGATAACGAGCCGCTGGCTCCGACGCATCTGCGACCAGTCTCGGGGTGCTTTATCCACACGCTGGATTCATTCCATGGTCAGCAAGTGTGATGTGTGTGCAGAGAGTTCAGCAGTTGTGAAACGAGGTTAGGGCGTTAAGGTTGTGCCAACAGAGAAAGAGTGATGCTGAAGAGAGTGGCCCTTCTCCAGCGCCTGCCCTCCTCCTCCTCCCCACCCCCTCTCTGTGTCTCCCACCTCTCCCTCTGCGCTGGTTCTCTACCCTCAGCCTGTAAACAAGATCAAGTCTCTCCCAACAAGAATCAACTGAGACCCAGCAATTCTACTCCTAAGTGTATATTCAAGGGAATTGGAAACAAAAATCTACTCAAAAAGTTGTACAAAAAATGTTCATAGCATATACATAATAGCCAACAAGTGGAATTTCCGTCGTTTGATGAGTGGATAAACAAATTATGATTTGTCCATGCAAAGGAATATTATTGGACCATAAAAAGGAATGAAGTACTGATACACGCTATAATAAGGATGAATGTTGAAAACGTCATCCTTATTATATGTGATATATATAAGTGATTATACAAGTGAAAGAAACCAGACATGAAAGACTACATAGCATATGAGTCCGTTTCTATCAAATGTCCAGAATAGGCAAAACCATAGAGACAGAAAGTAGATTGGTGGTTGCCAGGAGCTGGGGGAAAGGGAAAGTGGGGAGTGACTGCTAATGGGCCTGAGGTTTCTGCTTTAGGGTGTGATGAAAATGTTCTGGAATTAGGTAGGAGTGATGATTGCATGACTTTGTGAATATACTAAAAACCGCTGAATAATACACACTTTAAAAGAGTGAATGTTGTAGTATGTGAATTATATCTCAATTTTTTTAAAAGAAAATCAAACTACCAAAAAAACTAACTCCCTTGATGCTGAACCCCTTCTGACTACTGTGCAGTTTCCCATCCCTTCTCATCCAAGATTCTTAAAAGGGTGGGCTATGCGTTCTACCCCCACTTCCTCATCTCCCATTTATATGTCGGTTCCCTAGAATGTGGCTTCTGTCCACACCAGAGAGAGAGCTCAAATCCACGCTCTCCTTGAATGCTGAGGCTTTCTATGACCTTGAACATTCCTGGTTCTCCCCCTCCTCTCCAGTCTTTCTGTCTTTTGACCTTCTTTTCCTTGGCAAACCTATTTTAAACATTGATGTTTTTTATGGCTCCTTCCAAAATCCTTCCTAGGTTCTATCATCCATGTCCGTGAGTTCAGTTACTGTGTTTCAAATTCTAACATTCACCTGATGTCCCATAGGTTTCTCAAACTCAGTGTGTCCTAAGCAATTTATCATCTCCCTCCCCTTCCTCTACCTTCTCTCCAAGGGTGCTGTCTCTTACAGCATGCTAGGGCCTGGGAGTCATCCTTGATTCTTCCCTCTTCCTTCTTCTAGAGTCAACCACCAATTTTTATCCTATAAATGTTCTTAAATCCCATTGCTCTTTTCTATTCCTACTATCACAGCCCTAGTCCACAGCGCCATCATCTTTTGCCTTTTACTTCCCTTCATCTTTTGTGCCCTTCCAATCTAGCTTTCAAACAGTTGTTGAAGTGGACACCCATTGCAATGGCTAACACAGCTGGCATTCCTCTCTCTTATGGTAGCAATGCCCTGGCTTTGCTTTAGGAACCCACCCCTTCCCCCATGAGCTATGAGCTTGTTGAGACTGCCAACCAAAATGCCAACTTTACCTAAACCAGGCTGGGTATGCCCTGAAGCTGGGGCAATACAACACCCTTCATTGGGGAGTTTGAATTCTGGGCAGAGCAACATAAAAACTGAAGTTGGTTGGACCTGATTCTTCCCGACCCGGAAGACTTCCAGTCGATTCCTGCTGCTTCTGTCCTGGGAGCTCCTTTCAGAGCCTGGATGCTGTAGTTTTCCTGCAGTTTTCTGAATGATCCTGTATCTTGCCAATGTATTCTTTTTCTGGAAGTTGATGAGAGTTGCCTGCAAAGATAGAATCTAGCAGATACAGAAAAATGTTTAAGACACAAACCATGTCTTTGCCTACTTAAAATTCTTTGGAGACATCCATTGCCCATAGGATAGACTCCAAGCTCTGTGACCCAGCTGCTCCCTGCCTCTCCTGCATCTTCTCTCCCCATTCCCTGCCTTGCCTTCACATTTCTGCCTTTCTGAATTACTTGGAGTTTCACATAAACTCACTAAGATTTCATGCCCTGGTGTTCATGAGACCCCCTTTATATAGAATATCCTTCCCTGTTTTCCCCCAACTAACTTCAACCATCCTTTAAGGAGTTATCCTTCAGAAAGCCTCCATGGCTCTTCCTTGCTCCCAACCGTCCGCCTTCCTCTGTGTTCTCAAAGCACTCGTTTCTTCCACCTATGGTTGCACTTACTGTCATGGTATTTTACTTGACCATTTAATTATCGCCTCTCCCACTAAATGTGGAGTTCCTTGAGGGCTGTAAGTTTCTATTCTGTATCCTTAGTGCTTAGCACACTCCCCAGCACGTGGCAGGTGCTCAGTACCCTTCCTTTCTTCTTCTTCTTCTTTGCCTCTAATCTTGAATAAGAGAAAAGGATCACATGAAGGAACACTGACAAGCATTTTTCCCAGGGAGATGAAAAGCAAAAATTCACGCTTAAGGCAGCTCATATAAATTGTTTAAAAACTGTATTCCAGTTCTGAAAAATGTTCCAGGAGACTGCTAAAACCTCAGTAAGACTACAGGGCTAAAGGGTACTTATTTAAATAACATTGCTCTCATCTCAAAAATCTGCTCAATTTCTCCTGAAAGCCTTCACAGCCTAATGAGATGGAAAATTAAGTAACTCAGACAATTGTAGTCATTATTGTGACTAAATGGCAAGGTAAGTTTTTACACACATTTGTAATGGTAGCTGGAGAATAAACTAAACATAATAGGCAAATCCCTAGTTCCATTTGTGTGTCTATGGTGAAACACGTACTACCTTAAGTGGAATTATATAACCATCCATATGCAGATGCTGAGTGAGGAAAGCTGGATTCTCGTCGCAGCCCGGCCACGACCAACTACTTGACCTTGGGTAAGTCACTGCCCTGGGACACTTTCAGTCAGCCTCCCCAGTATCCATTCCTCCATTGTCCCACCCTCAGAACCCCAAAACTTCTTTGGAAAACCACTTTTTCTCCATTCTAACCCATGTGGTCTTGTTTAACCTAACCCCACACTCCAGGAGTTGGGCCTGATTGGCTTAAAGCAATCATTCTATCCCATCTCTTCGGTTACTGAAATTAGTTCAAAGGTAGCCATGAAACCCAGTCAAGCCAATAAGATTTGAGAAAACATTTTCAAGAGCTTCTGGCAAACACGAAACAAAGATTCTCTCCCTGCTGTAGCTCCTATGAATGATGTAAGGTCTAGAATTAATGCAGCTACGTGTGACCACAAGAATAGAGACTAGATTGCCAAGCAGTGGATGAATCCTGAGGAAGGCAGAATGGGAAAATGGAAAATAAACAGAACCTCAGTTACATCGTTGAGCAGTGAACAGCCCGATCAAGCCACACCTGAAGCTGATTACCCCATACCTTCCAGTTATATGAGCCAATACTTTTCCTTTGTGGTCATTGGAGTTTAGTTTTCTGTCTATAACATAAATAGTCCTAACAGTAACACAACAATCTCTCTTGGCCTCCATTTTGTCATGAATAGAATAAAGATAATATGAATAATCTCTAAGAATTCTGCCAGCTCTCACATCCTATAAGTCTCTGAAGGGTAAATATATTCACAAAAATGAAAGTGCATTATCATTGACAAGCAAGCACTAAGGACAATAAAACTCCCTAGTTTAACCCAACAAAAGATAGCTGAGACTATGAATACAAACAGAAATCCTTAATCTTTGGCCTATACCAGGAGTTACTCTGATCTCCATCCTCTCCCCCTATACTTCAGCCACTTGTTCCTATACACTGAGGATAGTTCATGGGGGAGGGGTGGTCTGGAAAGAAGTGTATAAGGTGGCCCTGCGTTAGAAGACTTGGGTTCTTGTTGGTGGTGCCCTTGGCCTTAGACCCCTTATCCAGATTCTGACCTCTTCTCTCCGAACTCTTTGACCTGAGTGCTCCCTTCTACCTTCTCTCTCTCCAGATCTGACCTCTGAATCCTATATTTCACTCACCAGCATCCCCTCCTATCTGCGTTCCCAACACTGCCTACCTTCGATCAACTGGAAATGATGATATATTAGCCAGCAACTCCAGAGCACAGATTCGTTTATCTGTAGCAACAGGGCCTAGAGGAAGGAGACAGGGATGGTTATTTAGTGGAGGAGAGTCACTTAATAAAAGAGATTAAGCACCTTAGGAGCCTGAAGGGTTGAGCAAATTGTTTGATGCACTGCACTAGCAATTATGTGTGAAAGGCTTCACGTACGGGATACAGACCCCACATAAAATTATGCATTTGCACATGCAATTGTAATTAACATCCTAATTTGAAAAAGCGCTGCTTGGGTCCCTGTGAGGTATCGCATTGGGACACTGGGAACCTCACCTGGAGGCACTGGGAACCTTAGGAAAAGGCAACGTGGAAAGAATCTGGGTTGCTTCCCTGGAAATAAAAATGAAGAGTATGCTACTGATTAAGTTTGCTCTTTGTTCTGGCTTTGCGAGATTCATGGGAAAAGACAGATCTTCAGCACTGTTTTGATTGATTCATCTAACATTTTGTGACCAGATAACCTCTGCTTACAGAGATGACTAAGACAATGTTGCTCTTCTTTAGGAGCTGGAGGAGGAAATGGACCCTTGAGCAGTCGAGTCACAGCAGGAAACAGCCCACGTGGCTCAAGTGAAGAGATTTCAGTGAAAGGACAACCTGCATAGGTGTGGGGAAGGGTTGTCAGGCACCCAGTTACTAACAACAGCAGAAACCATGACCACCCCTAAGAACGCAGAGACAAGCAGAGGAAACAGGAGAGTGGGAACTGTGGAGGAGGGGCTGCCTGGCAGGAGCTGTAGTCAGGCAGAGATTCTGCCAGAGGAATGGCTTCAAAGCAGAGGCAGTGAGGGAAAAACACCTTGACCTCGCTTGCCTCCCTCTCATTCTCCAATCCCCTGCAAGTGCCTATCACTGACTGACCTGAGCAGAAACGCCACCAGCAAGAGTCCAGACGACGCAGTCTCTAGGGATCAGGCTCCCCGGGAAAGAATAAAGCCGAGAAGGGTGGAGAATGGATATGGCAGCATAAACAAAGAATAATCAGTCCACTCCACCCCATTTGCCATCCAGCTACCATTTCTCTCCTTCATTTGAGTGATGAAAATCTCATCCCAAACACAAGGAGACACATGTGTCATCAGCCACTGTGTTATTACTGTTGATGTCATTTCAAGTGTACTCCCACCCAGAATCTAAATTTTGGGGTTAACTGCCACCAATACTCTTGATATAAAGTAGTAGGAAAAAGGGAGGGGAAAAATCAATTACCATAAAATAGGTATGGATGGCTACAGTCTCCCCTTCTATAACCCGTCATGAGACCAGAGCTGATCACCATGGCTTCCTTCTTCCATTATCCATTCCATGTTCACCTTACTCTCTATCAGAACCTCAGCTACTGGGAGGCCCAAACCTTCATCTCAATATAACCCTTACTAGTCCTCTCTATAGTGGGTTGCCAGTTTTCACTGAAATGTATTATTGGAATGGAAGTTCTAAGAAGTGGCCCCACAAATCCCCTGGGTTCCGAACATAGTCTTCTCAGCTCTACTGCAAAGCAGCAACCCAGTTTCCCCTTGATAGCCAAGGCAGTGCTTCCCTTCTCTTCCTGTTGATTCAGTGGCATGAAGAGTCCCAAAAAGGCCAGGGACAAACTCAGCTTCCAATTCATCAGAACTATGGCTGCGTTCCTTGGTGGGAACATTCCTCTCTAAGGAATCAACACCCCAAACCTGTCAAATCCAAGGTCATGGAGATGGAAAGCAAAAATTCTATCAAGTGAAGTATTCAGTGTAATAGTTAGAAAGGCCACTCCTAACTCTTCCCTTTGGTTCCTAGCCCACGTGTTCTCAGTATGGAGACAACGCCAGCTATGACCGCTGATTTGAAGCATGTCCTACCTTCTGCAGGTGAGCCCAAGCCTGGCGTGGTGTCATATCCTAGCTGGTCCACTGAACCTTTACTGTACATACTTTAGAAGACCTGTGTTAGGATGACAGAGATGCTGTTGGTCTTTATTCCTGGATGATGATATGCAGCAGAGCTGCCCACAGATTTTGGAATTGTGCTGTATGAGAGAAATGTATGCCTATATTCTTTAAGCCCTTCTCTTTTGGGCTTTCTTTGTTACATCATTTTAACATCACCTTAACTAAGATAGCAATCATGGCTGTTAACAAAGCCCTCACTTGTGCTCTCCCTGGTCTAGGTTGCTGGGAGGGGTTGGGGTGCAGAGTGGAGAGAGAGGAGAGCCTCTGGCACTATAACTCTGCCTCAAATATACCCGTTTGCTGCACCTTCCCCCGGGCAACCCCGTGCCGCAGAAAATCACGTGGTAATTCAATTCCAGGCAGACAATTCATCATTGCCCTGATATAACTCACCATCCCCAGCCAGCACTAATGTGGTCCTGCTGTTTCTCTGCCTTGGAGAGATGCAGGTGTGGGCAGTGATCTGTCCAGGGAGAGAGAAAGAATTCAGCTCAGCTAAAAAGCTTTTCCCTAGCCTACCCCAAGCCTCCTACCCAGCCATCTGCTGTTTTGTGTTGTTAATCATACAGAGACACTCAACTACATTCTTTCTACCCAGGGGATTCTCATCATCTTTCTGATAGTTTCTCAGGTCCATCGACCTCCATCTCTCTTCTGTGGCTTCATCAGAGAAGGATGAGTGAGCAGTGCTGGTTCCCTGTCCTGTGCTGAGATGACATTGCAGGGGTACAGAGGAGACAAGCCACGGACAACCTGTAGCAACAGGAGGAGGAGAATTAATAGGAAGGTGTTTACATAGCATATGACTCCGTTTATGCGAAATTTCCAGAATAGACCAATCCACAGAGACAGAACACAGACTAATGGTTTCCAGGGGCTCAGGGAAGGCAGGATGGGGAGTGGCTGCTTAACAGGTATGGGGTTTCCTCTTGGACTGATGAAAATGTTCTCAAACTAGATAGTGGTGATGGTTGCACACACATGTGAGTGTACTAAATGCCACTGAATTGGATATTTTAAAAATGGCTAAAATGGTCAGTTTTATGTTATGTGCATTTTATCGTAATAAAAAAATAAGCAGTTGGATTTTATTCTAATTGGAGAGAGCAGATGCTCAAGGGTTGCAGGGTGAATCTGGTGGTGACTGAAGTAAGCTGAGCTGTAAGAGAATCATTTGACCTTGTAGTCCTTCTTGGAAACACTGTTCCCTCCAGCATGGGGAAGTGATGGGGATGGAGGAGAGCAAAGGAGAAGGCAGACCAAGTAGAGGATGGTGACTCCAGAAAGAGGAGAAGAGCAGGCATCTGGGATGGACACTTTTCCTGGATTTTCCTGATGTCATAGATTTTCTGTTGTTTTCGTTTGTTGGTTTGTTTTCAATTATTCAGCATTCTACCACCTTCATATTTGGGGAGACTCCAAAGGTGGGATGGGGGAATTTGCCTTTGTAAATCTTGCTTATAGGTAGGGATCTTCTTCCCAATCTGCAGTCTGAGAAGACCAGAGACTTTCTCTCTGCCCCGCACCCCGCCTGCCAACCACGCTGGATCTCAGACATCTGACCCAGCTCAGCTCATGGAATGCTTCTTCTGAGACTTCAGGTCACAGAGAGTGATGCAAGGACACAGAGGCAGGTGAGAGACCACCCCCGACAGCCGAGCCCAAGGATGAGAGTCCAGCAGCAGCACCATCCAGCAGAGTGTGGGACTTTGGCATTGAGTGGCCAGGGGCAGCTGTGCCTGGCAGCATCTTCATCACACTGACCCTGAGGGGTGACCTTGGCTGTGATACCCACTGCCTGGCCTCTTGTTCTGGTCATCCTATGAGCCTGGTTTGCCACCCTCTCTTCAATTCTCAAGCTACCTGATATCTTTCCAATAAATTCCTTGGCTGCTCAAGTTAGCCAGAGCTTGTTTCTGTGACTTGTCACTAGGAACCCTGACATTGACGTAGACTTACTGCCTCCCTTCAAAACAGAAAATGTGGTGCATTCCAATTAAATGCCAACGATTCCTTGTAAAATTGAAGTGCTGTCTGTACCTTGACTCTTGTGTGTGTGTGTATGTGTGTGTGTGTTTCACTTTAAACTTTACAGATGTGAAACCAAAATGCATTTCCGTGCACTGAGTTATTGTAACTATGGTGATGGGCAGAAAGAGCACTGCTCTAGCAATTAGAAGACCAGACCACGCTAGGTGTGCAACCTTGGGCAAGTCAGGTTCTTCTCTATTCAGGCTGAGACGAACTGTGAGCCCTGTTTCAGTACTTAAGATCCTATGATTCAGGAAATACAATGGAAATAATTTATATTAGTACCGTACCTAGGAAAACATGCTATTCTCTCTCACAAAGAGCCTCCGTCTGAGTCAGTGTCATTCAATTAAGACAACTTCAGTCTTCAGTCTTTACTTCATCTATTAAATAATGCAAAACCTTGTAGACAAGCAACAAAAGTTAACATCAGCCTCATCTCCCTATGGGGTATGCTATCTGCCGTAGTAACACTAATGTGAGCTCACACTTGGACAGCACTTACTGTACCCCAGACATGGTTCTAAGAGCATTACATATATGAGCTCATTTAATCCTTACAACAACCCCACGAAGTAAGTGCTATTATCATCTCCATTTTACATGCAAAGAAACAGAGGCACAGAGAGGTTAGATAATTTGCCCAAGGTCACACAGTTAGTGAGTGATAGAGCCAGTATTCAAACTCAAACTATCTGGCTGCAGAATCCAGCTGCCTTGTGTGTGTGTGTGTGTGTGTGTGTGTGTGTGTAATAAAATTCACATAACATAAAATTCACCATTTTAGCCATTTTAAAGTATACAATTCAGTGGCATTTAGTTACACTCACAGAATCCATGCCTTTAATGGTACACTATATTGCATCATTTAATGGTACACTATATATTCTATATTTTTGTATATTTTCTGTATTTAATGATACACTATAATGACTGCTTTTAATGACACACTATACTGCCAACACTGTATATATCATCAAATAAATAAACCCAACTTACCATCAGTTTTACAGACTGAGAGATGGTAAGATGGAGGAGTCATTTCTTTCATCCACTTCCCTGTGTTCAATGGTAGCGATGTAATTTCCCAATGAAGGTTATAGAGTTGTGGTGTGATTCACAGATAGCTTCTAGTTCTAGTTCACGCTTTGCCTCCACCAAGGCTGCATCTAATCTTAATCAACCTAGAAAAATGAGTGTCCATCACGTTTTAACACTTCAGTGGGAGATCTAGCAAGGGAATCCCGCACCACTTCCTCCAAGGGCTGGTCCCACTGTTCAAAGGCATTGCATCAGCAGAAAGTCCTGACCTACGTGCTCTTTCACACACGAAGGCTTTCACCTTTAACCCTGACTTCGGGGGCTGGGGGGAAGGTGTAGAAAAAAGATGGTCAACGTTTTCTCTGTGATAATCCTTCATGTTGAGTGCCTGGATCACCAAGACCTGACTGTGTGGAGCCTTGGGCAAATGATTGCTACTTCTGAGTAGTCTTCCCTGTGACAATCATTTGCTCGGCAAATATTGGTGGCACCCG